TGACCATGGCCCTTGTGGATGTACTCAATGGCAGCGACAGCCTCTTCCTCAGCCTTGTGGGCAAGCATAGGGCCGAAGGTGCAGTCTCCGATGGCGCGAATGTGGGGGATCTTGGTGCGGTACTCCTGGTCAATGATCAGGCGGCCCCTCTCATCGGTCTCGAGACTGATGTTGTCCAGACCGAGACCGGAAGTGTATGGGCGGCGACCGATAGCAACGAGGACGCAGTCCGCATCGAGCTTGGCATGTCAGCACCACAATCAGCTAGTGTTGCTCAAAATCGACTTACAGTCTCCTCCTTTCCACCCTTTGCGGCCTCGACGCTGACGTTGACACCAGCGCTGTGAACCTCACCAGCAGTAACCTTTGTGTTGAGCTTGAACTTCAAGCCCTGCTTCTGAAGGATCTTCTGGGTCTGCTTCGCGATTTCGTTGTCCATGCCGGGGCCACCAATCTGGCCCAAGAACTCAACAACGGTAACCTCAGAGCCAAGACGCGACCAAACGGAGGCCTACATGCGGTTAGTATAGTCGACTAAGAGAACGACTAAATATTCCCTTACCATCTCGAGTCCGATGATACCACCGCCGATGACAGTCATCTTCTTGGGCACTTCTTGTAGCGCAATGGCGCCGGTGCTTGTGATAACCTTCTGCTCGTCGATGGTCAAGCCCGGGAAAGGAGTGGCCTCAGAACCAGTGGCAATAAGGATGTTCTTTCCACGGACAGTAGTCTCGCCACCCTCAGTAAGGTTGACGGCAATGGTGTGCTCGTCCTGGAATGCACCAGTGCCCTTGATGTACTCGACGTTGTTCTTCTTGAAAAGGAACTCAATTCCCTTTGTAAGACCGGAAACGGAGCTCTCCTTAGCCTTCATCATGGCAGGGAGGTTGAGCTTGACATCGCCGACCTCGATTCCGCGGCTCTTGGTGTCGTGGAGGATCTGGTGGTAGAGATGCGAGTTGTTGAGGAGGGACTTGGAGGGGATGCAGCCGACGTTCAAGCAGGTTCCACCCAGGGAGCCACGCTTTTCGATGCAAGTGACCTGTCCGCTTTCGTCAACCTTGTGATCTTGCCATTGTCCGGGTGTGTCTTGCTAACCTTCATGCCCGCCTGTCCAGCCTTGATAGCTGCGACATATCCCGCAACACCACCGCCGATGATGACTAGGTCCTTTTCCTCTATCCAGCGATCAGCAGATGTACCAAACCAATGCCGTGCATTAATGCGACTCACCAGCTTCCGACGCATATCCACGTCGTAACCGGTTCTGGAAGTAAATGTTGGATGCGCAGAATGTGCTTCGGGTGACGGGTCGCGACGCCCGTTGAGCGGCGCGGGGTGCCAGTGAGCGGAACATGGTGAAGATAGCCGGAAGGAACACAACCAAAAGAAGCCGTGAGGTGTACGGCTGGGATGACAGGCGTCAATGGATGGGGCGTGGGATGGCAGATGTGGTTGAGCTTTTTCGGAGCTCGGCTGGGAAGGCCTATGCGGCTTCCGTAGGGTCAAGGGTGGCGCCAAGATGACAAAGTGCCTCATGTTCAACATCGCCTCCTGGCACCATACTGCATTTGTTCTTTTATAACTCTATTATTAAACATACAAAAGAAGGGTATTCTAATCAAACACTTAGTCTTCCGCCAACGTGGTAGTAGCTAACACTCTAGTCAACATGTCCATGACGGACTTGCACGCCCACCGCACTGTTTCCTTCTCCGCTTCCTCGACAATCTCCGTCTTGCTGACTGTCTTCTTCAGAAAGAATTGCAAACCGGCAATCATTTCTGGTGCTTGATCTGCCTCTACAAACACCTCTCGGACAGCCCGTTCGTCACGCTTGTCTTTTGTCTTGGATGTCTTCAATGCCTCCAGAATGGTAGTAACAAGTACGACTTCAACAAAAGTCTTGGTTTTCGGCTGCAAGTAGGGGAAGTTGAGGTTCTTGAGACTGGTAATTGGCATGGCTTTGCGGCCAATTAATGTGCCATATAGTTTGCCCTGATTGACAAGCTTTCGAAGGGACGTGTCAGTGTCCGTTTCATCATCATCGTCAGAATCGTCCGCACCATCTTGCTTTTCTCCTAAACTCTTGAAAATATCCCAAAGAGCGAATTGAAAACTCTTGCGAGTCTTGTGGTCGGAGCAAATCTTGCGCGCAAGTACAGTGTAGTAAGGGTTGTAGGTCTTCTCGGCGCCCGCACAATGAACAATGACTCGTGGTATCTCTGCTTCTTGAGACTTTTTGAGATTGAGCTTGTTCAATCGTATTTGTGCATCCTTGAAGTCGCTGGCAGACATTATAGAGATGAATATGGCCCGCCGAATGTCTGTGTTCATACGGTGCTCACGAGCAAGCTGCACAAGATCAACTTCACTATCGTCGCCCTCGTCATCGATATGTGTCGTGGTCAGTTCGGTTTTCCTGTTATCATCGGCCGGCTCCTCATTTCCTGGTTGATTGCGCCAACTCGCTCCGACAAGCCACCACTTCCCTCTCTTCTCAGTATCTCTGATATCCTTCAGACCAACCCGTAGTGGTTCGGTCGCCTTGAGATTCCGTGAGTTCAGCGTACCAAGCTGCTTCTTCATCCGGGTTGTATGTTCTCTCGATATCGCCGAGGAAGCAATGCCAGTCTTCATCTTGTTGTTCTTGAGGTCGTTGATTGTTTCAATCATGAACTTGGTGCGGACCGGCAGGTTGTTTTGGCCAACCTTGGCAACAGACTTCTGGAGAAGAACAACAATGTCCTTGAGAGAGGTTGGGTCGTCTTGGCGTAGCTGTGGACCAGCTGCCCGGACTATCCTTAACAGAAGTTCGGTGTTGATTTCAGTAAGCTCGTCGAGAAAGAATCGAATGTAATCAAAGACAATATTGCTGCCAATGACCTGGAACGTATACAGCTCTGCCACAACGGATATGAGATTCGATGTCTGCTTTCCAGAACCGTCCTTATTCGCCTGATAATGTTTGTCAACTTCAGCAACAATCCGCTCTACCATCTGTGCGCCGAAGTCTGGTCCAATAATTTTGTAGATCGCAGCGATAAAACCGGCGTGCAAGTTTAAGAAAGTATCCAGGAGAGCGGTGGGATCTGATAGCATTCCAATCAATAGATCGACCAATGTGTTGTTGACGTATCCGCGGGGGTTGTTCTGGTAGATAGTCTCGATTTCGCGTAAAATGGAGAGTATGTTGGCTTCTGAAAGACGGTTGAAAAGACCTTGTACCTGCCTCCGAAGACGTAGCAAAGCCTCTGAATCCGATGAAGGTGGTGCTCTGAGCGCGGGTGGTATATATTTTGTCGGCTGGGTATCCGGTGCTACAGGAGCAACGTATGGATTTTCTCGTCTCTTCGGTTGCTCTGGCTCAACCTCTTCGGCATTGTCGTCCTCGGAGCCCAAATCACTCTCCTCGTCGTAGTCTGTCTCATCTTCGTCATCAAATTCTGCCTCCCTTAGGTCCAAGTCTTCATCAGAATCAGACGATTCTGAGTTGTCGTCGTCTTCTTCATCCGGCTCCTGGCCTAGGGCCTTCCGTCTCTTGCTTGCAAGCCAGTCGTCATCTTCGTCCCTTTTACGCTTTGACGGCTGAGCACCCTCTTCTTCGCTAAAGTCCCCGAGATCTCCAAGGCCCTCAAACAGGTCATCGAGACCATCATCTGCTCCCTTGGATTTCTTCTTGCCCTTCACACCTAATCTTTTTTCCAGTGCAGCAATTTCGGCATCATCCTGGGCTAGTCTGTCTCTTGTGGCGCGTGATACTTTCGCAGGCGGAGGCGATGCTTCCTCTGACTTTGAGGGCTTTGTCTTGAGTATGCCTTTCAAAGGTTTATGCTGCTCCTTCTTCTCTACCGGCGGCGGTGTGGCGTCTGATTCGATGTTGTCCCAATCTATCTCCTCTTCCTCGTCCTCATCTCCTGATTCGGCTTCATGACGCGGTCCTCGGCCATTATGTGGATGTTTTGGCGCAGGCTTCCTGCCCTGCTTATTCTGTCGCTTTTTCTCTACGCGATCGGCTTTGCGCCTGTCTTTGCGATTTAGTGGCCCAGTACGCGGTCCTTTGCGCTGCTTGTTGTTTGCTGGATCTGTAATTGTTTAGTACTAAAATTATGCCTAGCTACCGTCTAGCATTACCTCCAAGTTGGTTCCGTAGCTCTACGGGCAATTTCGGCCCTCCGAATGTTTTGCGCATGTTGTGGTGTTTGAGGCGGTTGGTTGTTGTAAAAAAGTTCGAGGGTCGGAGTTTAGGTGAGATTTCCCCGCGTCTCCGCCTCGCACTGACGGTAGACATCCCACTATGCAACCTACCACCTCCATGGCGCGACTAATATAGCACACAACATTCACAATGGGGCGAGAACATTTGAGCAACGATGAGGTGTGTGATATTACATGCATGCAGTCATCTTCTCTATTCTAACACTTGCTTAGTTCTTTGCAAAACTCGCCAACCTCTTCGAATACACACGAACAAAAGGCCACGGCAGCGTCTACCTTGTACAGAAGCGCATGACATTCGGTACCACTGCCACTCCACCTCCAGCCAACAAGGTCGCCGATGATCCATTATGGGACACCCATCCTGAAGACTCGCTGCCTGTTTTGATCCGCGCGCACAACAACAAGAGCGACAAGAAAGCAGGGACAGGCAGGAAAAACATCGACAAAATAGAATTGAGCACAGTGGTAAAACCGGAAGACCTGGAAGGATTCTATGCGCGATATGCTGAGGCATGCAAGGCAGGCATGAGTGGATTGAAGAAGCGAGACAAGAAGAAGGCGAAGAAGACCAAGAAGAAGAAGAAGGTGGAGACGAAGGCATAAGTGCGAGAATGTCTTGCTTGCTCATGCACCACACAGGAACGTGGTTCAGCATGTTCATGAACAGCGTCATCATTGAGGTCAGACATGGAAACGGGCATTATCAATGATTCGAAAGACGCCAGACGACGAGCTGTTCGACAGACATCCAAGTTGCGGGGTTGAGAGAGAATGTGCATCAAAGTTTGGCCCAGCAGGAATTGCTTTAAGATGCCAATTTATCGCGTCTATCGCAGACGTTATCTCAACAAATTACGTTACACTTCGAGCACGCGCCTTCATGCCTCACACGTCTTCGCTGAATCACAGAAAACTACACCTTCGATGGTGCTCTCTTCTTGAACATTTTCAAGTTGAGAGGTAGTGGCTGTCCCATCCATGTCGCGCGTTGTGTATGGTCCCTCTCTTCGTCATCAGTATTAGGATGAATCAGTGCTGAAAGTGGACCTCTGTTGATTACTAGCCAAGGAATAAATGCACCAAATTGCTCTAATAATCGTTAGTGAAGGCTCCAGCTTCTAATTCAACAAGCCATTACTTACGTGGAGTGAAAATGTTAACCTCGAACATAGCAAGAGGATGAGGTCCGATTGGCCGATCCCACACTCGATATATGCGCAACTCAGGGACTGTTTTCGTTAGAAACAACCGGATTAAGGGAGGATGTTAACATACACTCGCGACGTATACGCTCCCAGAGCTCATTGGCAAACTTTGTTTCTTCTTCGTCACTCTGGAGATAGTAGATGTGAACACTGAAAACATCAGTGATTGTTTGATATATTATTTGAGCTAGTAGTACTCACTCAAAACCTCCACGGATGCCATTTGTAATAGGGGCTACGAATAAATTATAGGCATCGCTTGCCTTGTCAGCTGGTGGGTTTACATAGGATTTCCCATCCTCAGATTTTTCGCTGTGACTATATCAGCATTTTCCAATCGCATTCATACCGCAAGATTTAGAATCGTAAACACTAACAATATGGAAGATATAACCTACTTGGGTAATGGCTCACAGTTTTCGTAGCCTTTAAGAGGGGATTCGTATTTGTATAGACTAGGGTCAGCCATATTTATGTTGTGTATTCAGAAAGAGGTTTCTTTTAGTTAGAACGAATGATAAAAGCTGTATGTTATGTACATGTACATTGTAGTTTATATGTCTCTTAGACTAGTGCTCAGTTGCCAGGCCAATTGTCTTATTTGTCAGCGCGGAACCAGGGCCGCCTTTAGTACATACTATAAGGAGAGGGCTCAAATGTCTACTTGAGAATACTTACAGGCTATTTTCATGTTGCGAAATAAGTGAACTTTACTTTTGAAGTATCCGAACTTTGGTCCTTGGAAGGCCGTCGTCATCAAAAGGTTGTGGCCATGCAGCTAAAGTCAACAAGACGCAACTCTCAGGTCAACTTAAAACAGGTATCTTTTTACAAAAAGCAATCAAATGCACACATAAAACACAATGCATGATCCCAGTCTGTCAACATTAGCCTTGATTGATAAGGGAAATTGGGTAATTGGCCTTATCGATACATATAGTGCTTCACGTACCTAGACTGTGCACGGAGCCTGTGGAGGGGTTCCATTTGAGTCACCCCGCGCCCACTCAATATTATTCCGACAACAGCAGACAATCTGCGCAACACCCCCCAAAGACGTCTGCACACCAATTGCCGTCACCATGGCCCAGCCTACCTACTACATCGACGAGGATGTCGGTCAGGATATCGCAGAACAGACGGGCGACGAGTCATCGCCCTACAAATCTCTCGGATATGCTGTCCTGACTCGCGGCGAGACTCCCAAGTTCCTTACCCGGAAGAGTGTTACTGGAGAGGTCGCAGAGGGTGCAGATGCGTCCTCGAGGTTAGAATGGAAGGAGGTTGCCAAGTCTGCTATGAAGAAGGCTGTCAACTATGCAAAGGCACAGAAGAAGAAGGCCGAGAAGGAGCAGGGACAGCTTGCGCAGCGCTTGAAGGAGGAGGCAGACCGCAACAAGGTCCTTGACGAGGCCAAGAAGGTCGTTATAGAAGAGGACAAGAGTCTCCCAGAGGCGATCAAGATCAAGCTCGACGACACCGACCCAAAGAAGATCACGCTAGGAGATGGCAAGGATACAAAGGGTACACGAGTACGAGTGTTTGGTCGCGTACACCGTGAGCGAAGACAAAAGGATGTCATGTTCGTCACCTTAAGAGATGGTTACGGCTATATGCAGGTCATCTTCACTGGCAACCTTGCAAAGACCTACGACGCTCTCACTTTGACTCGCGAAACCAGCATGGAGATTCTCGGAGAGTTGAGGCAGATTCCCGCTGGTGCCCACGCTCCCAACAACCGCGAATTGCACGCCGACTACTACAAGATCCACGATGGCTGGAAGGCAGCTGGTGGCGACGATGCCATTACTAACAGGGTATCAAAGGACACTGAGCACGCGACATTGCTGGATCTGCGACATCTTACTCTACGTGGAGAAACTGCATCCAAGGTCATGATTGTCCGTGATGCCGTTGAGTTTGCATTCAACCAGGTCTACAAAGAGCTCCGACTACGCAAGGTCAGCCCGCCAGCGCTTGTCCAAACCCAAGTCGAGGGTGGTGCCACGCTCTTCAAGTTCGGCTATTACAATGAGGAGGCCTACCTTACTCAGTCTTCTCAGCTATATCTTGAGACATGCTTGCCATCCATGGGAGACGTATACTGCATCGAAAAGTCCTTCCGTGCTGAAAAGTCATTGACCCGTCGTCATTTGGCTGAGTACACGCACATTGAGGCCGAACTCGACTACATCAACTTTGACGACCTGCTCACTCATCTCGAGGAAGTCATGTGCCGTGTTCTAGACGTCACAATGGCTGATCCCGTCGTCAAGCAATACATCATGGACCTCAACCCCGAGTTCAAGGTCCCCGAGCGCCCATTCAAGCGCATGAAGTACCAAGAAGCCATCGATTGGCTCGTTGAGCACAACATCCCCAACGAAGATGGCGAGCCCCACAAGTTTGGCGACGATATAGCCGAAGCTGCAGAGCGTAGGATGACCGATATCATCAACAGGCCCATCTTCCTGACACATTTCCCTACGGAGATCAAGGCTTTCTACATGCTGAAGGACAAGGAAGACCCAAGGGTAACAGAAAGTGTGGATTGTCTGATGCCCGGTGTTGGTGAGATTGTCGGAGGCAGCATGAGGATGGACAACTACGATGAGTTGATGGCTGCATTTGCCAGGGAGCAGATTGATCCTGCGGCATACTACTGGTACACTGACCAGAGGAAGTAAGTTTTGCATCCGTTCAAGTCACCCAGCATTTTACTAACAGCCTTTTCCCCCTCAGGTACGGCTCTTCTCCCCACGGCGGTTACGGTCTCGGTCTCGAACGCTTCCTTGCCTGGCTATGCAAGCAACACACTGTCCGCGACTGCTGCCTATACCCACGCTACTTCGGTCGCTGCAAGCCTTAAGCCAGCTTTTGTTATCAAGTTTTCTTTTCTTTTTCTATTTCCTTTGAACTTCTTACGCGCCTGCCTGATTCCTATCCCAAGAATTATAGGGTCCCAGTCAAAAAGGTCTGAGTGGTGTGATTTGATTTGCAGCAACCCTAGGCTTCCTGTTGCCTTGCCTTTTTTTTTGCCAGCAAAGCCCTTGTATCACGTCACACTAGGCAGCGGTGAGGGACGAATCATATAGTTGAATCATAGCACCCAAGTCAACTTGTTCAGCATAGTACATGCTCCTTGGTTCTTGTTGATTCCATCTTCATGGATGCCTAAAGTTCCCAATCGTGTTCATGTGCTTCTTTCCCCCTCCTTCCACGCCCCGTAGTGTCACGGGATGCATGCAACGTGTCAGGCTTGCGGTGAACCCAGTGAATCCCGTCAGACGGCCCACCTTTTTTTTCTTGACCACCCCTGATCGACAGTCGAAAAGCCTCATCACGGCAATGACGACAACACCGCATAACATGCAATCAAGTTTGGAAGCACGAAACACACATAGATAGATGCAATGGTCCAGGGTCGACCCGTTCTGCCATTCGCAGCACCAGTTCACGAGAAAAGCCTAAATAACCCTTTTCTAAGGTATCCATCAGTGTGTCTCCTTCCCCTCGTCCTCGTCCTCCGCCAAGAAAAAAAAAGATGAAGTTTGATATTCAAGCTTCGCAAGTAGAGTAGTAGCAGTAGTTGCCTATTACCGGCAGTCCCCCTCCCAACTTGCTTTGCTCGGTAGAGCCAAACGCCAGATAGAAAACGAGAGAGATGTTTAGAGAGAGATAGAAAAGAGGAAGTGGACAGTGCCAAATCCCCCATCTCCCTTCACTCACTTCCCTCCCTAAATAGACTAAAGATGTATCAAAAAAACATTGGCCCTTCCCGCCCCGAATCAAAACTCCTACGCTATGCAGTTGTGGTACAGCGTTCAAAAGCTTCCCATTTCTGCGAAAAAGATGTTAGGCTCTAAGCAGTTGGGTGAGCTGTTTGTACCGGGAAAAAAATCCGTATGGGAAAAGTAAAGCGCTAAGTTGCGCGTATCATGGTACTGTAGCAGAGAGAGAGAGAGAGAGAAAGGGAAAAAAGAGCCGACCCAAGTTGAGGAAAGCATACGCAAGGCAAACAAAGAGCTTTTTTCTGTTCAAAAGGCACGAGAGGTGTTGACGTGTCGGACGAGGACCGTGCCGCGCGTCCGTTGGACGAACAGGCTGTCGTGTTCGAATTTCCAAGTTAGGCAAATGAGGCTAAGCAGAGCGACGCCTCGCCACAGCCAATCCTGCTGACGATACGCTACCTTGGCAAGGACATTTGAGATGACAGTAGATGGACAAGAGTTCTGGATGGTGTATATGGTGTGCTTAGTATCCAGGGTTGCTTGGCGGTGTCACTACAACTAGACCGGATAAGTTTGGAAACCGCTGTTGTTGAAGCAGCGCTCAAGCTTCAAGTCGGCGCTGGATAAGACGCTGAAGCATCTCCAGCTGAGCACGCTCTTGCTCTGAAGGCGGTGGCGGGTCTGCGTTGGCCATGGCTGTGATGACGTTCGGAGGAGCCTCGGACTGTTTCACGTGAGTTAGCGCTATTGATCACAAAACAAGGCATGTGGGGCGCAGGGAGAAGTCTTACGGTGAGACTGTAGATGAGCGCCTGAACTTTGCCCTCGCTCAAGTCAACCTCGGGTTCTTTTCCTGCCAGCTGAGCTAGGGAGAGTGCTGCTTGCTGTTGTTCGATAGAATGTGCAAGGTAGTTGTGCATAGGCGCGTTGCGTTGTGCTGCAGCCTCCACAGCCTTTGGTGCACCATAGTTCTTCGTTACACGACCACTGCAAGACGCATTAGTACCTGCTATCATATCGTGAAGATGAGAATATACATACCTCTTGACTTTGCTGATGAAGTCGAGGACAACCCCCTTCTCCGGCACACGGAAGATCTTTGAGCTGAGATCTTTCGAGTCATTATCGCCGAACACGTAGTTACCTTCGCCATCAGTGTCGTCATCCGGATCATTAGTGATTTCGATCAAACCGTTGTTGCGCATGCCGCGTGAGAACGTTGGCTCAACGTACTCAGACTGTTTGCGCACTCGAACTCTGCGCGTGATTCGGACAAACGGCGTAGTGTTGCCCATCTCAACATCGTGGTCATCAGCGCTCAAATCGTTCTGCACCAACAAACCACTACGAAGATCATGATCAATATGTCGGGGGCATTTCCAGGCATCGCGCTGAGATGCATCAAAGCTGATGTGTGGTGGATTAGCGAGTGGGGGGTCACAGCAGTCCAAGTGCCAGTATGCGTGACAGAAGTCACACTTCAGCATTTGGCGCTTGTTGCCGCTCGATAACCCACACTGGGCACACAAGATGACTTTTTGGTCGTTGTCGATGACCTTGGTGTATTCTGGCTTCTGGTAACCATATCCACTGTTCTTCGCCCTGTTTTCATTGTTAGTGACAAATCACGCGATGGAACGCGTCACACTCACAGAGGGAACTTCTTGACTTCCTCAAAGTAAGATCCATCAGGACGCGCAGAAACACCCTCGAAATTGTTTTGGATGTCTTGTGGTAAGGCAAAGGCACGAGGGTTGGTGCGCTCCAGCTTATCGAAGAGCGGCCCCAAGCTGGGATGAGTCTCTTCGGAGTCATCGGGTGCACCAAACTTGGCATTACATTCGTAGCAGTAGAAGGCACCATCAGGTACTTGTGTCCTAGGTGGATCGCAGCATAGCAAGTGGAAAACACGTGGGCAGTTTTCGCAGCAGACAAACTCGCCAGCACCTCTACACGCAGAGCAGAAGTCGTCGCTCTCCGACTGTGGCGAGTTCTGGCATTCCGTTAGAGGCGAAGATAAAACTGAGAGTGGAGGAGAATATGGAAATTTAGGAGGGGTTATGTTCGTAGTGAGAAACATTGGTGTTGAGAGATGAAAAAAGAAAATGGTGTTGATGAGTTGTGCGGTGGAGGAGGAATGGTGTGGTTGGATGCTGCGGGATTTTGAGTGGCACTTACGGGGTCATTGTCATCAGGCCCCAGCTGTCTCGAACCGCCACCACCAGTAAACGCTACACCAGCAATAGGTCCTGCATCTCGGTTTTTGACTGGCCTGTGTGTACAATAGTTAGTCTTCTGGTGATTCGATAGGATCAACGGTATTGTTTGATGCAAACACGCAAGGCTTGCCTACTCGACGCTAAGAGTACTGCGCCGATACGGGTACAGACATCGACCTATGCCCCCAAGGGCAAGACAGCGATGCTGCAAGAAACAAAAGAAATACTTACGATCGCTTAGTCCTGGCACCCTGACCGTTGGTGAGCTTGACCCGCTTGGGCGCCGGTCCGACTGCTGGTGTCGAAGGTCGTGTCACTGTAGCTGGCTCAGATTGAGGCGACGAAAACCGTAATGGATCGTCTCGCAGACGCTTGGTGCCGTGGTTTGGCGCTCGTCCAGGGCGCCGTGGTTGATCAGAGTCTACCGGTGGCCCTACGGCAATCTGGGATTCTGTTAGAGACTCCGTCTCAAGGATTTCGTCGTCAAAGCGGACGTCAGAGACTGGAGGGGGGATTTGATCGAACTGGCGGATAGGCTGTTCCTCCACCATAGATTTGCGCATCTGGTAGAGGCGATCGTCTTCCGCCTGTTGCTCTGCAGTAAGTGGCTGCTGCTTGTATGCATGCTTGCCAAAGAGTTTTCCCGCACTGGCTTTCGCCTTCTTAGCAGCGCGTGCATGGGCAATGTTCTTCCCTTTCTTCGGTCCTGAGGCCGGTGCTGCAGCAGCGCTCTTTCCGTTGACCTGCACCGGCTCTGGAGGACCCTTTAGCACTATCTCTTCATTGACCTCTGAGAGCTCAGAATCGCTTGCACCAGTGTCGGGCGTCCTTGCTGCTGGAGTAGGCACAGTCGTCGAGAGACCACCATCCATGTCCATAGCAGAATCTGGCGCGGATTTTCCGTTGGTAGTAGCTCGTTTCCGAGGTGATTTTGAGGGCATCCTTGGTGTTGATTCTGCAGAGGTATCTGCTGCTGGCAGAGCAGGCGCTGTGCTGAATGGGTGGGGCGCAGCTTCAGAATGTGGGTCCAGTGCTGACTGCAATGCCTTGTGCGTGTCGTTCAGCATCGACTCAGTGGTCGAGACAGAATCATCGGGAACAACTTCACTGCTAGCCCTAAGGGATGGCGGCTGGCTGGATAATGAAACACCGTTGTTGGCCGTGTTGGGCTGGTCAAAGCGCCTGTCTCTAGTGAGGCCCATTTTCATTTTTTCTTCAAGCTTGAATGACTTGATGAACTTGCGAAAACGGTTATATTGCTTGGGCGTGCTCCTCTCGTGAATTACTGCGTCTAGGGCCTCGGCAAGTTCTGGGTCACTTTTGCTCTGTTCAAAGGCGCGCTTCAAGGCGATGCCTACATAACGCCTGCCCTTGCTGCTGTTGGCCTTTGAAATGGCATCGTTGACAGCGATCTGGATGCGCTGTGTGCTCGCTGCAACAGGCTCGGACATGGAAATCGCCTGGACGGCCGGGCTCCCTGAGACGGGCGTGCTCTTGCTGTAACAGTTCTTTACAGGCGTTTTGCCGTTGACGGGTGTCTTGCTTTGCACGGGCGTCTTGCCCCTGACTGGAGTTTTCGATACCTTCACCTTCTTCTTCGGCTTGGTAGGCTCATAGTCATCATCCTCTTCGTCCTCGAGAACAGGAAAGCCGGCCTGTACCTCGTACTCTTCTTGCCGCTCCGAATCATCAGGCTCAAGCTCGGGAGCCGGAGTAACTTCTGGAGTCGACCCAGCGTCCTCACCAAACGCAATATTCAATTTTCCCAGCAGTGAGTTTCGAGGAGCCGGTCCGTCGAGAGCGCGCGCGCGCTGCTTGTCCTTTGCCTTTGGGGGCACGCCGAGGGGGGCCATATTCTCCAGGACGCCGTGCCGCGCAAAACCGTGCTCTTCAAAAGAGGGCGCAAGAGTTTGGGGTTGGGGCTCAGTCCACTCGGTGATTGAGCGCTGCTTCTTGTCGTAGACGTGATCGTTTGTTGTGCCAGTAGGTGAGGCGTAGGGCGTGGTGCTGGACCTTGGTTGCGATCGAAAGTCGCGCTCCCGGGCAGACTTGCGGAGGGCCGGCATGGCGAAACTGGAACTTGGTCAGCGCGCTGTATTTGATTAACAAATCTTTGTTCTCACTTCGCGTGCTATCCGGGAATTTTACACGCCCCAATGCCGAGCCCGGTGTTGGTGGGTCGGTCGTGCAAGAATGAGAGCGATCAAGGCTGTTCGAGAGTGCCCTGGACGCTTGGACGGGCCTTCTTATTATGTCAGCCCCCTACACATTCACCAATGTCGCAGCACCTGGCAGACACTTGGAATCTGATCTAGTATCAGTAGGTAGAATGAAGAAGAAGAAATCTTCTGTTTCACCGCTCAGCATTAATACGATGGGTGAATAGCACTTCACACAGACTGTGAGGGACACGGCAAGTCACCCAACCTCCGCTTTTTCCGTCAGATCCTCCTCTTACTTTCACCAACCAATACCCA